TAGACCTTCATAAAGGCACTCAACTGACAATTGCACCAACTGCCTGAACTGTGCCCCAATTGTCGTTTAGCAGACCACTATCACACACACGCTATCTTTAGTCTGGATTTTACGCAGCATGTTAATAATTTAAATTCCAAAAGGTACGCCATGCTTACAGAATGCCAGTTTAAGCAATCACATCACCAGTCAGCCTTGGTGTTGTCATTGCAATTTGCAACGCATAGGAAAAATAACGGCGGGAGGGAGAAATGAAAAGCACGGCATCATTTCATATTCGAATTCTGAAAGTTCCACATCAACGCTTGCCTTGGAGAAATGTGACTAAGTCTTCGAATCATTGTCCAATGCTTGAATCAAATGCCTAGTGGCATGGTCAAAGCGGACGATCGTAAACTTTTGTCCTCCTCCACGCTCTCAAATGAAACAATCCATGGAATCCTTAATTCATCACTTTAAGCTTTACACAGAGGGTATGTCTGTACCAAGTGATTAATTTGAAATTGAAATTTAATGTACTAATTAATTTGAAAATGAAATTAAATGTACTAAGGACATGTATGTTGAAATAGGTCATTATTTTTTCATTCTTAGCATTTTTGTTGTATTAGACTACAAAAAAATTAATCGATCTTTTTTTTTTTTTTTGTTCACTTCACTTGCTAATGTTGGTTTATACTACTTTATAGACATTGCTTCTAAGTTCAAACATCTAACACCTCAACCCCCATTCCTTTCCATTTCTTTACCACTGTTGACATTGTAGGGACCTTTACACCATAGAAAAGCACTGAAAACCTTGACTCTACACTTGAGCGGTTCCCAGAACGGTGTATAGAAAAGGTGAAATTTAACATTACTCCATGTCAACAGCACCTGCCTGCCTCATGGCTCAATGGTACACACTAACAGCCATTGACAGTGAGGCCAGGACTAGCACAAATCCTGATTAGCAACTTTAATATCTATTCCTTTATGAAGAACAAAGACTCAACGCAAATCCTTAACAGACTCAAATCCATAACATCAATCCAGTGTCTCAAATTCGGACAACTGGAAGACAGTGTGTGCCTTCCACTGCTTCCGGCGTTAGTGGCACACTCGTTGTAATTACAAGAGTAGCAAAAGCAGTTCGAGAAAAAGAGAGAGGTCAATTTGTTAAAGGAGAAACAAGGTTTGAACAAGTAACAGATCACACGCATTGGCAAGTTGAATACCAAATTTCTGTAGTCTTTACCTCGTCCATTTCATGGGTCAGAAATGTTTGTCTATGACTAGAGTATTAGTCCGCAGGACCGCAGGTATGATGCAATGACACGGGCAATTAGGAAAAGGAAGATAAAAATCACTGGCTGGCAGTATCCTTGTTGTTGGCTGGTTGGTTGATTGGTTATGTCACCGCCAGCACCACAAGGGTGCAGTGCCGCCACCATCTCAAAGGTAGGGCAGGTGGACGAGCAGCAGGTGGGTGGGCAGGCAGCCAAGGCAGGCGAGTAGCGCTCACCTTCTGCAGAGGGGGCGACCATCTCCAAAATAGTTGGTTATCATAAAACGATGATCTGCAAAGAGTTTGAAACCAACAGTTGATCGGCTAATTCACAACGACGACTTGGAACGCGCCTTAAGAGTCGAAAGCAATAAATAAATGGCGGCTCAATACGATAGTCAATCCCAGTAAGCAACTTGCAAACAGCATTAGCTTGGAAGTTAGAGCCAAAAAAAAGTACTCCCCAAATGAACCAGCACAAAGTTCACAAACAGGATATCACTCACACTTGAATGCATATGGAATACTTATGACATGATTGGCCTGTACGGCTAAATACATTAGCAAACGGAGGCTGACAGCGACCTGGCTGTTTACGTCCCATGAAGAGATCCAAAACCTCGCATACTCAAATGACTCTTACGTTGACACAAACAGAGCCCGTTGAAGGCCTCAATTAACCAGGCTGAGCTGACTTCTCGTCCTTTACTTCATTTGTCTGCTTTGATCATATATATACTTTGTGTGGGCTGCCTCACATCTATTTGTGCTGATTTTGCTCCACTCAGTTTCTTTATGCACACGCAGAAGCACAAGCAGCTCATACATGTCACTAATCCAAGTTCAGTCCTTCAGGACGCCTCAAGCCCTGCCCACCCGTGTGTCCTGGACACTACACCCCCTTACACTCAAGAGGTTCTGGACACCAGAGGTCACAAACTTATTTTTGAGCAAGATGGAACAGCCCACAATACCGGAAAAATACAGGCACTCCATGGGGGTGAAACGAAGCATCGGAGCTGGGCTATCTAAACCACAATCAGGCCAGGAGGTAACTACATGTGAAATGACTCCCTCTTTTCTTAAACGCTAGCTCTTATGTGCCTTCTATGCTGCGTTCATATCCACCACACTGTTCTGTGAACGCGCTGTTTCTAACGAGGCGAGGTCCGTTGTACGGTCTCGCGCTTGTTCTTCCTGTAGCTGCCATACTGATCCCGGAGAAGCGCCTTCTATGGTGCCGAGTTTACCAGTTCCGAGACGGTCTTTGATGAATTTGTCTATGATTATTTGCTTTTTTGTGGTGTCTTCTTTCATGTTCTCGGTTGCCTGGTGCCAGTCCGCCTGGTACTCCATCCGTAAGAGTTGTAGTAAGTGCTCCCAGGCCTCCCGGGTCGGTGTGTTTTGGCCGGCTATCGTTTGTTCGCATTGTGTCTTCAATATGATCCACAACGTGAAGGGGAAGTCTTTGGAAGAAAGTTAAATGCAAAGCTTCTCAAAAGTGTGCCTGTGCCAGGCCTGTTAGACGTGTCAGCAGGTTATCTGGCAGTGGTGTGCCGACAACCGCAAACCAGAGCGCACGCGTTCTGTTCCAAAGCCTGTGTGTGTTTCGGCAGTGTATCAGACAGTGCGGCAGATCCTCGAGGGTTCCGACATCGCAGACTTCACAGCTATTGTCGAAGTCCCTTCTGGCCATTTCCAACCTTCTCTTGCTGACCCATGTGTTGACCGGCAATGCCTGATAGTAGATGAGCCATTGCATGCTTCTTATCCGGGTGTTCCTAATGGCAAGGGGTACCTGCCAGTCAATCTTCTCCATATTACCCAGAGATCCAGGGATATGTTTCTCCCACCGCTGAGACAAGATGAATTCTGTGTTTACTGGTCTTCGTCTGAGTTTATAGCGGAAGCTTGTCCACTCTATGGATTGAAGGCAAGCTCGGTTAAAATTTTTCGGGGGTACGCTAGAAATGGCATGACAAAACACTGAAAACTCAGGGCTCTGTAAATCGCCGGTTGGTGCTCGGCGTTTAGCACGACCCTAAGGAGAACTACCCAACCCTACATACACCACACCTCAAATCATAGCAGAGTGGCGGGTTCAGACTCCTGGGAAAAGTTAACAAAAAATAAAAACCAAAAATTGCGAAAAAAAACAAGAAGATCTTCTCTTTTTTCTTTTTTTTGGTTGTGTGTTTGTGTGTGTGTGCGTGGCGGCGGGGAGGGGGGGCGACCAATCAATCAATCAATCAATTAATCAACCGGAAAAAAGAGTGTGCAAGTGTGTGTGTTATCATATTCGCTATACACTCAAAAAAAAGCATGACTGTACCAGACTGTTTCATCGGACTTTCACCGACTCATCAGAGTGTGTGTGTGTGTGTGTGTGTGTGTGTGTGTGTGTGTGT